GAGTGGTATTGAACGAAGACAACTGTTAATGAAGGTCTGTAGTTTGTTTGAGATTCTCTTTATGACGCGCAGTGCAAGTCTCTGATCCGTATGTTAAGTGGCACTGACTTCACATTGAAGTTGAAAACCCGGATCTTATTTTCCATGCTGAGTGCTGTTGATCTTCACACAGACTTGAGAGTAATGAAAGCTTGTCTTGCTTCTCCGATTCTTGCTTTGATATCCTCATCAGTTCCGTCTGCCTGTAATTGAAACGATGCTTCTCAGGTAGGTAAAGAAGGTTGTTGTAGTTGTTCCTTTACAAGTCTTAAACCACTGAGTTTTGGTTATACTTAATTACTGATTTAAAGTGTGTGTGTGAAGAAGGCGTACACCAGTCTACTGGATCATTATACCAAGGTCATATGTATGTGAAAAATTATTCCTAATTTCGCGCAATTATTTTGCAGCAATTTGATTGATTTTAAGTCCAGTGACAAAATGACTTCAACTAAAGAACCATCGAAATCCAGCCTTTTCGTCTTAGTTCGGGACTTAACGACATTACGCACTATTGATTCCACTAAGGATTGAGTTCAAGACCTTCAGGTTACAACGCGAGCCCGTTTACACTGAACCACCAGGACGGAATCCCATGCCTCATCAATTCTAACTCCTATCAGTGAGATGCTCACTAGCGACTTGCCCTATTCAGGTAGGTAGTTACCTGGGGTTCTAGTGAGAAATCGTGACCAGTAGGGGGCAGCAGGTAGGGTGTGAGGACAAATACTCGCCAAAGACATTGGCTAGGGGTCTCGTTATGTCGTGAATTGGCAGAAGTTAGAATTCATGGGATGGCCATTGGATCGTGTCCCAGTGGCTTAATGGTATACGAGCTCGCCTTGTAATCAGAATGTCCTGGATTCAAATCCCGGTGGGTGCGTACTGCTGAAGAGTCCCAAACTAGTGTGACGAAACAGCTGTGCAGTACTCCCTGCAGGTTTTCCAATGGTTCTCTAACTAATGTCAGCTCATGATTAAAATCCTGTAACTCCTTTCTATTACGGATAATTAGCAAGTCTCCTAGTCACTATCCCCAATGAGTGTTTGTCCTAACACCCGACGACTTCATGGACCTTGCTGATGACTACTCCTTAGTAGAAATTCAATAAACTTTACCCTGTCATGAGTCACTTGTGGGCAGCAGACTAATTTTTGAGTGTTACTGATAAACATGACTAACCGAGGACAGCAGGACAGATGTTTTGCTCAAACTGTCTCTGCTTATTTTTAGTCAAATTGTTGATGTTATTTCTGTTTATTTTACAAATGACTGTCTGACCAGTATAAAAAGATATACCGAAATAGTCACTGTTTATTCACAAAACACATCACTTCTTTGCTGAGTGAACAATATATATCTAGTATGCTTATTGAATAGAATTAAATTTCAAAACAAGGGATTTGACAGGGAATGAAATTTCACAGCAGTTTAAGTCACCCTTTTAAACATATAATTACAAACTATCAAAGCAGTATATCTATATCTAGGCTTTATTTTTGGTTACTGGATAATGGGAACTTTTGAATATTTACCGGTTTTCAACACATAAGAGATAGTTAATATGTCATCGAACATGATTAGTGCTCATGCTTCCCCAGGGGTTGACTGAGTTGAACCATCTTAGACGTATAGTTGATGAATTCAATATCAATTAGTCAGCCATCAGAAACTCAGTAGTTTAAGACCTGTAAAGGCACTACTACTAGGTATGAGTTTATTTCAAGTACTTATATCAACAACCTCTTTTACCTACCTGAGAAGCATCGTTTCAACTACAGGCGGATAGAACTGACGAGGATATCAAAGCAAGAATCGGAAAAGCAATACAAGCTTTCACTACTCTCAAGTCTCTGTGGAGGTCAACAGCACTCAGCATCAAAAATAAGATCTGAATTTTCAACTCCAATGTGGAATCCAGTCAGTGCTGCTCACTATACGGATCAGAGACTTGCACTGCGCGTCATAAACAGCATCTCAAACAAACTACAAACCTTCATTAACGGTTGTCTTCGCTCAATACCACTCAAGATCAGATGGCCAGCTAGCCAGAAATGATCAGGAACAGAGATCTCTGGCAATGAGCGAACCAACCAATCCAGTAGGAACCGATTGTGAAACAAATAGTCAGGAAGAAATAAAGGGAGATGGATTGGCTGGCCATACTCTGAGGAAACAATCCATCAAGTGACATCACTAGACAAGCCATTGCTCGAATGGAACCCAAAAGGGAAGCGGCGAGTTGGTCATCATTGCGAGGGTGGGTGACTTGGAGGAGGTGATGTGAAGAGGAGATGAAAACATGTGGGCAGACTTGGAGCTAGGTGAAGACTGTAGCAGAGAACCGAACGTAATGGAGACGCACGGCTGAAGCCCTATGTTCCTCTAGGAATTAAAGGAAACAATAATAATTATAGCTACCAGGTAGAAGTACTGAAGTCACTGTTCTGAAATAATAGGAAAAATCTACCGCTCAGATGGACTTTTTTCAGGGGGTTATAATATTCTCTGAGCTGTCAGTTTTAACCGATATGTTTTCATGTAAAGTTAGCGCTGAAGATTTTATTTTCCTAAAGGACAATGAAGTCATTATCTGTAAATTACGAAGATACGAATAACAGTAAGTACTGATATACGCAAATCTTCATTCTTGATGGTCACATTTTTTGATATGAAACAAATACATGTCAAGAGGTTTTTTTCCCATCACATTCCCCAGTGGAACATAGGGCTGCAAGCTAGAGGCTTTAAGTTTCTGTAGCAGTGTTTATTATTTTACAGGATGAGGTTGCTAGCCTCATGCCCAACCTTTCCTCTTCACCAGCATTATTTCTGGCTTAGCGAGGTAAAGAAGTGCGTCGGCCGGGGATCGAACCACGGACCATGTGCATGGTTGGCAAGCGTCCTAACCGCTGTGCCACCAACGTCGAGAGGTTTAGTGTTCACTAAGTTAGACGGTTCAGTCATGAAACACGATTGAGTGAGATGAGTAGTTGGACGCCACTCACATAAACCAGTAGTGCTTGCTAGCCATACCATCGAGGTGATCTAAACGCCGGACGGCCGTCTAACTCATTTGGGACTGACTTGATTAACAGTATACCTCAGAGAGACGAATCAGTTCAAAACATCGGAATACTGAATAGCTATTTGAGCGAACTGGTAACATCTTAAATCGAATTATCAATTTGCAAATTGATTTCTTTTTTAATTCTTTTTCTTCCCGAGTGGATATTAATGCTTCAGGCTAGAGCTTTGAAGTTCCTGCAGCGGTGATATGCCCAACCTTCTCTCTTCACCGTATCTACTATTGCTCAGGGAAGGGTTAGGAGTGTATCGGCTCAGGATCGAACCCCGGACCTCGTGCGTGGTTGGCGAGCATTTACAGCCGCACCACCGACACCATCTGCAAATTGATTAGCTGCTTGGAATTCGCACGGTTCGAGGAGGTGAAATTTTATGTAAGTGGTATACGACTACTCAAATCAGTCTATCTGTAGCACATCGTTTGACTCGAGATTCAATCATGAAAATTCATTGTCATTCCAGATATGATAATGAGTAAGTAATAAGGAAACTTCGAAGTATGCAGTAGCAACTCAGTTTATAGTGTTTTCTGTTCGACGCCGACATAACGGGATATTTCACTGCAAGACTACCTCGCCTAGTTTACTAACCGGGCTAAAAATACAGGAAAACATGGAAGGTTAGGTGTGTAGCTAGTACTGCCACACCTTAGAAAACAATCTCATAGCTACTGAAACTTCAAAGAACAGAAAATACATAAAATATAAACTTATTCTTAACTGGAATCGGGAACATTCGTCAATTTAAGGATGGATGACACTGGCCGGCGAAAGCCTTAGGACTACTAAGCCTTCTTTCGATGAAAAAAAACATTTCTGAAGTCACCTGGACTGCTCAAATTGCAAAAGTAATGAGAGAGTACGGCATAGAAGTATTAGAAATCTTTGAGAGCAAGTGGAATAGAAACTGACTCTCGAAATTGTCAAATGGAGGGTCAGTAATATACTTCGGCTACCTGGATGACGCCTATGAGCACATTGAGGATTTAGCTGGAAACATAACCTAAGTGAAGTTCAATACCTAAAAGGTGAAGGATGGAAGACACCTTCACAGTACTCATCAGGTCGGGGACATTGAATAACATCACTGAGGAAACCTGAATGAATGACATATCAGTTAATTGTATGTACTGTCTTGCATTTTAGCCGTTATAGAGTGAAGTAGATCACATTTTTATCTGAAATTTTCTGAGTTCCTCAAAGAAACAGTAACAGCAGATTGAAGGTGAGACAGTAACTCATCGAAGAAGACGTTGCGAAGTGGTCGCGATATGTCGTGAATTGGCAGAAGTTAGAATTCATGGGCTGGCCATTGGGTCGGTTCCCTGCGTCCAAATGGTCTACGAGCTCGCCAGCCTTGAAACCAAAAGGTCCTCGGTTCAAACCCTGGCTGTGGACGCGTACTACCGAAGAGTCCTAGACGAAACAGTACTGTCCAGTACTCCATGCAGGTTTTCCAATGGTTCTTTAACTGATGTCAGCTCCTGATGAAATCCTCCAACCAATGAAACAGTAACACTCAAATAAATGAATATGACCAAAAAAACTCAACTGACAAGAATATTTCATCAAAAATGAAGTAATCTCAAATCAGATCATGGAAGTTAAAATTCACAGGACGTTGAATTCCATTCCAGTGGCTAAATGGTCAACAAGCTAGCCTTATAACTCGGAAGTCCTGGAGTCATAGGTGCATGCTGCTGAAGAATTTCAAATTAGGATGAAACTGAGGTCCAGTACTCTCTTGTATTCTCAATAGTTCTTCAGCTAACTGAAGTAACTTTGTGATGTGACTTGGAATCAATCAAATCCCTGTAAAACCAACATTAACTAACAGAAAAAAAACAGAAAGAAAGAAAATATGTCTAACTTACGAATTACTATATCCAGGATGATCTAAATCATGGCATACAGCTGCTGTCAATAGGATGCCAAGTTCTTCACGTGAAAAATCATTATTCAATCCACACAGATATAATATACCATACATCATTTGGGCAACACAAAAACAATGTCGAAAATTATGAAATGGATTATTTCGATAATTCGCCTGTATACACAACTATGATAAAAAGAGAAGTGAAGAGATGAAATAAGAGAAAAATTGGTGGATGATAAAGCCAATTTTTTTTTTAAAAAACACATGGGCTACACATAGAGGAAGAAGTAGACAGTACCATTATGGCAGCCTGCTTGAACTTTGAGCTACCAAAATATCATCATCTCTTCCATCAAATCACATACTGTTTCGATTTTGAAAACCATAGAGAAACATCTCTTTCAGTGAACTCAGGCAATCTCTGCTTATAAATGCAGTAGAGACACTTTAGATGCTGCCATTGAACTCCACCATAATATTGTTTCGAGTCTAGATAAAGGTACAAAGTTCATTCGATCCTCTTTTTTAAACCAAAGTGCTGCATCTGGTTCTACTCCCAGGGCACTTTTACTAAGCAAGCTAACTTCAACACGTGCTGAGTCCTGGGTCATAAAGTGACTGTCTCCCTATTTTTCAGGTTGGGAAATAATATACCAATTTCACAAAACCTGGTGTGCCTCAAGGTGCTACACTTCCTACATTTAGTGAAGTTAAACAATAGCGTCCCCCGGGTGCGAACGCTCCAATGACCTTGAACGCATGCTAGTCGTTGGCTAAAGACACCTGCCATTATCCTAGTGCAAAAATGAACGCTGTTCAGAAACTGAGTTGCAAATTTCACCCGGAACACGTTTTTAAATACTGTCTGGATAATGGATTGATAGAACGTAGTCGCAGATGTAGATGTGGTGCTTCAATGAACCTGCAACCATATTCACAAGTTACTGATGGATATATATTTAGAGGTGCGAAGTGTAGGAAACGAAAGAGTATTCGTACTGGTAAGTGACAGGCTCAGTTCATTGTTCTCTGGGAACTTTCTTTGCACAATCGAAACTATCTTTGACGAATATACTGTTTCTGTGCCATTAGAGGATATTGAAGTCCGGAGTGAGGTCAACAGCCGCTCAGACAGAAAATAGCTTGATATCAACTGTGCAGTGGTTTCAGTTTTGTCGAGATTTAGCCTCCTGGAAATTACATAATGTTACACAAGCGTTGGAAGGAGTTGGTGTTATCGTTCACATCAACGAAACAGTACTAATAAAGAAGAAATACAATCGTGGTCGCGCTAGAGCTAACAGAGTTTGGGTACTGGAAATTTATGACACCCAAATTCACAAGAGGATAATGGAATTTATTCCAAACCGCAGTGCCGACACTCTTCTGCCTATTATTCAAAGGCTCGTTATCCCTGGTAGCACTACCCACACCGATGAATGGGGGGATATAACCGCTTATCGGATTTGGGATATATACACAATCGAATTAACCATTCAAATGATTTCGTCGACCCCACAACTGGCACTCATACTAATTCAATTGAGGGCTTCTGGGGGAGATTGTAAAATAAGATAAGAGCAATAAACGGCTCTCAAAATCAACTTATTTTAGTCACCTCCATGAATATATCTATAGACACTGTTTTAATTTAAAAACTGACACTCCTTATTATAACTGGGACGTATTTTTAAGCCATATCAGAGAAAAATACCCTGTTAAATGTGCTATCATGCATTTTCTTGTAAATAAGGGTCATTTTTGTGCAAAAATCCCTCATTTTTATGATTGGTCGGCTGAAGGTCACTCGTGCGTTCTCACCCTTTGGGACGCTCTTGTTTAAATTTGCCTTGTATTTCTTTTTTATTTCTTTTTGCATGACTTACCGTATTCTTCTAAAGTTAATTTTATTAAATATTCTGTTGTTCTGACAGTTTATACCCCAGTTATTTCTGCATTGGGCTGATCTGATATGATGAATAGTTTCTTATCTGAGATTAACCAATGATCTTGCTCGAATGGTTTTGAACTAAATCCCTCCAAATGTGAAGCTGTTCGTGCTAGTTTCAGATGTGAACAAGACCTGTGTGGACTGATTCATCCCATGATTCTTCTAATATCCACAGTACTGTGATAGGAAATAAATCGAAGATCATCTGTCTTGGTGTCAGTTTCTCTCCAAATATTTCAATGAAAAATCTATCATTCGACTTACATTACATTAGGAAGTCAAGAATTACTGGCATAACTCAATCTCTCCTCTTACAGTTTATGAATACATGCATTCTACCCACTCTTCTTTATTATTCCCATTAGTTCTTCTCTGAGAATCTCGAAAAATGACCACGTCATATTGTGGTGAGAGATGGTTGCTAGCCAAATTGGTTGACAGTAATTGAGGTCAATGTTGGCCATGTGGAAACAAGGTCAAGATGGACAGGTGGATACAGTTAACATATAGATGAACTGACACAGCCACAAGAGATGCAAGGTTAACTTTGTGTGAGAAACAACCAATCAACAGACTGTATTTTTATACTAACATTAACCTACAATAATGTACATCAAAATCTATAAATATGTGTTGATTTTCCGTAATAAAGGTTCTGTTGCCAGGCCCTTGTCTTCTGTTGTTACAATATTACGTAAGACACTTAAGCCTGTAAGCAGGGTTAGCCGGTGTGTATGCTTTTGACTCAGTTAACTGACATTGTTAATGGCAGGCTTTTTAATTCTTGCGAACAGTTAGCTAAAGTCCTGAACACCAGAACACATCTATTCAAGTAAGACCAGAGGAAATTTCGAAAGAATTTATTCAGCCATTCCATATTTACTTGAGGCGTTGTGTGAAGAGAGACAGTGTTGTCAGAAAAGAGCTAATAGACCTGCTCTATCTATTATGGATAAGATTTTATTTTGATAAATCACACAGTGTTACACAGTAATATTAACTGATGACGTTTCGAGCACAAATTATTGCCACTCATAATCATATCAAGTCACTACTCACACAACTTTTTCCTTCATTTATATATATGTATGGAATTGACTAGATATTTGAATAAAAATCAATATGAGATAATGTACATTCAGAGATAATAATATGAGTGTTGTTGATCAATTACAATCAGATAGGAAATAAGACGAGTGTTTTTATAGTCATATTAAGTAACTTGTTAGGATGTAGGAGGAATAAAATTCACATTTGAATCAGAAAGTGAACAAGGAGAATTAGCTATGTTAGATTGTAAAATAAAGCGAATAGAAGAAGGTAAACTACACACTAACGTTTATAAAAAACCAACGCATTCTAATAGATATTTAGACTTTAATTCATCTCATCCGTTAACTGTTAAGGCAGGCTTAGTTAAGTGTCTGACAAACCGAGCAGCAGCTCTAAGTAGCACAAGAAAAGACCTAAATGATGAAATAAAACAGATAGAAGAGGCGATGGTGTTAAATAACTATCCCATAAAATTCATTAGGAAGATTGAAAAAGGCCAAAAGAAAAAATAATTATGAAACTAGTAATGATAACACAAATAAGAGAGAATATAAGTCATCTACAGTTATACCATATAAGGAGGGGACATCTGAGACCCTACGTAGGATTCTAAATAAAGCAGGAATTAGGGTGGCATTCAAACCTACAAACTCACTCAGGGACAAGCTCTGTAGGCTAAAAGACCCGGTGGACCCAATTAAACAAAATAATATAATTTACAAAATACCCTGCAATGACTGTGAGGTCAACTATATAGGTCAAACTAGTAGATCGGGGGTAATCAGATTGTCGGAACATAAGAATTTAGCCAAGGTAAGAATGGTTGACCCAGAGAAGATAAGTAATTTAGAAAAAAGCTCAGCAATTGCACTACATGCAATAACACACAACCACACAATAGGGTGGGAGAGGGTTAAGATTCTAAGAAGTAATCTATGTAGGTGGAGAGAGAGATTGATTACTGAATCCTGGTTCATTGAATCTACACCCAACACATGCAACAGAAATGACTCAATGCAAATACCAGAAATATGGAAGATATTATTACCACCAGTCAAATCAGAAGAGGATAATAAATAATCTCAAAATTCTATTTCAATTAAGCACATCACAACATCCTAACAAGTTACTTATTATGACTATAAAAACACTCGTCTTATTTCCCATCTGATTGTACTTGATCAATAACACTCATATTATTATCTCTGAATGTACATTATCTCATTTTGATTTTTATTCAAATATCTAGTCAATTCCATACATATATATAAATGAAGGAAAAAGTTGTGTGAGTAGTGACTTGATATGATTATGAGGCAATAATTTGTGCTCGAAACGTCATCAGTTAATATTACTGTGTAACACTGTGTGATTTATCAAAATAAAATCTTATCCATAATGGAGTTACACTCTACCACAGTGCCCAAGTTTTATACTTATATCTGCTCTATCTGTAATCTGTAAATAAACAGCAAATTATGACCAGAACTATTACTACACATGCTTTTTTTTATTCCTTGAAGTTTCGGTAGCAGTGGTGTTTATAGTTACGGGATAGGATTGCTAGCCTCTTACCCAACCTTCCTTCTTTACCAGTCTTATACTGGCTTAGCTAGGTAAAGGAGTGTGTCAGCCGGGGATCGAACGCGTACCACATGAGGAGTGGTCGGCGAGCATTCTATCTCTGTGCCACCGATGCACACTACACATGTACCATTCTTCTATTAACTATTTTATGTGTATAAAAAGAGATGGATTGTTGCAGTATGTTCAAACTCTGAAAATTCCATTCTGCATAAAAAAACTATAGCTTGGAATAAAGTGATTATAATTATTATTATTATTATTATTATGGCTATTAAATTTTTGAAACAAGCTAAAAGACTAATATGCTAAATAAATATATACGTATAAAATTATCTCTGTCATGTTAGCTGAAATCAGGCGCCATGTTTTAAATAATGAAATTTTTAAACAATGTTCAACGTTCAAGGGAACATTGAAGCATTCAACATGCTTTTTCTACTTATCATGATGATCGTTTCGTACTAAACTCCCCCCCCCCCCAATTTTGTTGTTATAACATTGTTTCTTTTTTCCTGGGAAAAGTTTAAATTACGTCATAGAATACATAATTCTTTTAATATTTTTTTTCACAGATATATTAACAGTGATAATA